ATATTCTCTTGCAAAGGTTTTCTTTGTGTATTAGCGACAAGTAGGCAGATACAACTAAATGTCCTGTAACGAAATTAATCGCAATATATATATGAATGAGAAACACTTTGATAATATTACAAGATATATTTACTCCATATCCTTAATGCCGGAGAAATATTTATATTATGAGGGTCATTTAGTCATCGAAACTCGTTTTGCCGTATTCTGGGACCCATAGTAAAGGCCATACATTTGTTGAATATAATTATTTCCTTTAAACCCCATTTTATACCCTACATCACAAGGTGGTCAGGGTATTATGTCTTTGTGCATTTGTTTGTAACAGGCAAAGGAAACAAGATAGACCCATAGTTCCTTTTGATGATATGCATAGAATCACATTCTGAGTCGACTCATGCATGTCCGTCCGTCCGTCTGTCTATGTATTTTTGTAAACAAAGTACAGTTCGCATTTATTGTCCTATCCAGATGAAATTTTGCACAAATCATTTGTTTGGCCCAAGGACGAACCCTATTGAAATTTTAGACAATCGGTCAAAATTTGGATATAGCTCCCGTATATATCTTCGTCCGATTTGCCTTTTATTGTGCACCAAACGTGTAATATCAGTCCGAATTTTATGGAATTTTGCACGTACGATCAGATTGGACCTGAAAATAAGTATGCTAAATTTGGTCGAAATCGGTTCAGATATAGCTATAGCTCTCATATATATTTTTCATCCGATTTGCTATTTTTGTCCTCCGCAGCCGTAATATGCACCTTTAACAACAATATTTGGGAAATATGTAAAATACAGCTCAGAAATAAATTTGCTAAATTTTATCGAGATCGGTTCAGATTTGGATATAGCTCCTATATATAACTTCGTCCGATCTTTGATTGGGCACCAAACGTCTAATATTTGCCCAAATTGGAGGAAATTTGGCACTTACGAGTCTATTGAGTCTAGAAGCTAGTATGCCAAATTTGATGGAAATCGGTTCAGATATAGCTATAGCTCCCATATATATTGTTCATCCGATTTGTTATTTTTGTCCACCGCCGCCGTAATATGCACTCCGTAACAACGATATTCAGGAAAATATATCAAATACAGCTCAGAAATATCTTTGCCAAATTTTATCGAGATCGGTTCAGATTTGTATATAGCTCCCATATATATCTTTATCCAAATGGGCAATACAATTCCGAATTTTAAAGATACAAATGCTTCGGCATATTTAGTCCTTTGAACTTTAAGTTATAATTATAATCATAGCGTGTATGATTGAATTCTCCCATAAAAACTTTTAGTTGTTATGTGTAGCTCTACTAAATTAGCAAAGTGGTGTAGGGTATCATAAAGTCGGCCCCGCCCGACTTTAAGACTTTCTTTACTGGTTTTCAATTCTCTATTTTCGAGAATGAAGTAGGCAAAAATTCTTAAAAAGCCAATATTGTTTGCTAGATTACAGTCTTCGAGATTCTGCTATGTGAACAAATTTTCATCCATTTTTACGTATTGGCGTCTGTATCTGATATCCTCTTGAAATATAAAATTGAAATTGGACGAAGATATGTATCTAAATTTCTGTAGCGTTTGTCATTGAGCAAAACAATTGATTTGTGTAAAATTTCGTCTCAATCCGGAAATAAGTGCGACCTGTATTTTTAAACCAAACCATATAGTGGTAACGGTATTATGTCTTTGTGCATTTGTTCGCAACATAGAGAAGGAAGCGAGATAGACCCATAATTACTTTTGCGGATCTTCATAGAATCACTTTCTGAGTCGATCTATGCATTTCAGTCCTTCCGTCCATCTTCCATGTATTTTGTGAACAAAATGCAGGTCGCATTTATTATACGATTGAGATGAAATTTTCCAAACAATATTTCTTTGGCCCAAGAACGAACCCTATTGAAATTGGAGAGAATTGGTTCATATTTAGATATAGCTTTCATATAACTTTAAACGATTTCGGCCACTATCACGAAATGGCCAATATCAGTCCAAATTACCTGATTTTTTTATATTCGACCGAATTCAGTCTAGAAGCAAGTACACTAAATTTGGTTAAAATAGGTTCAAATACGGTTATAGCTCCAATTTTAACCAAATTTAGTGTACTTTATCCGATTTTGGACGGAATTCAGATTTTGGTGAAAATCAGTTCAGATATGACTCCCATATATATGTTTCATCCGATTTGGTGTTAAAGTCCCTAACATGCGCAACATGCACTCCTCAGCAGTGATATTTGATACCAGGTATCAGATACTGTTCGAAAATACCTCTGCCAAATTTTATCGAAATAAATTCAGATTTTTATATAGCCTTGATATACATCTTTATCCGATTTTATGGTGATTACTCACCATACATGTAATATCAACCCAAATTGATTTAATTTTTTCATATTCAACCTAATTTTACTCGGTCCGGTATATATATTGCTCCAATATATATTTATACCCTTAACACTATGTGTTGGAGGTATTATAAGTTTGATTGGGCCAAAATATTATGTAACACCTCGAAATATTGGTTTCCCACATAGGAATATATAAATTGGTCACCCTATTCCGCCGAGCTGAATCGATCTAGCTATGTATGTCCGTCCGTCCGTTTGTCCATGTTAATTTGTAATCACTCTACAGGTCGCAATTCGATCTTCACGATATGTAGAATGGAGGTGGGGCTAGGGACAGAATAGAAGCCTATTGCTTTTGGAGATTATAGCATAATATTTAGTAAATATATCCGATAAATATAGCGAAATATATACAATGTATATATACACAGGAAGGGGATGTTGGCTAGAATGGTTACATCTCTAGAATAGCTGGACTGATTTTGACAAATTTTTGTCAATTCGGTATACCCTCTTGGCATAAAAGTATAATATCTAAAAAAATCGCATAAAAATATGTCAATAATGATGTAAATATAGATTTAGATGAATGAGTCTAAATTTGGAGATACAGAGGGGCCTCTTGCTTTTGGAGATGATCGCAAAATATGTAAGGTTTTAAATGACCCAAAAACAGAAAACATTTCCTGATCACACAATTGAATCCAGTCGACACGCCTGAAAAGAGAGTTAAGGACAGGGAAGAGTTCTAGCATTTTGGATGACCATTGGATTATATTTAGCTGTAAAATGGACCACAACAACTAACAGAATGACGGAGTGCGTAAATATTGGACAAATGTCCCTGGTCATATCTGGGCAGTGTTCCGTGACATAACTTCAAAAGCGAAATCTTCCATTAGGACATTAGGGAGCTTCTAACATATTTTAGTGTTGTAGGTTTCATGGTCGGCCCCGCACGACTATAGCCTTTGATTACTTTTTTTAATATAATCCTTATCGAAGCAGGCAGATACAACTGAATGTCCTGTAACGAAATTCATCGCAAAGAACATGTGGATGAGAAACACTTTGATAATATCACAAGATATATTTACTCCGTAGCCTTAATGCCGGAGGAATATTTATATCATGTGGGTCATTTCGTCACCGAAACACGTATTGCCGTGTTCTAGGAGACATAGTAAACATTTCTTGAATATAATTATTTCCTTTAAACCCCATTTTATACCCTACACCACAAGGTGGTCAGGGTGTTATGTCTTTGTGCATTTGTTTGTAACAGGCAAAAGGAAACGAGATAGACCCATAGTTCCTTTTGATGATATGTATAGAATCACATTCTGAGTCGATTTATGCATGTCCGTCCGTCCGTCTGTCCATGTATTTTTGTAAACAAAGTACAGTTCGCATTTATTGTCCTATCCAGATGAAATTTTGCACGAATCATTTGTTTGGCCCAAGGACGAACCCTATTGAAATTGGAGATAATCGATCAAAATTTAGATATAGCTCCCGTATATATCTTCGTCCGATTTGTCTTTTATTGTGCACCAAACGTGTAATATCAGTCCGAATTTTATGGAATTTTGTCGAAATCGGTTCAGATATAGCTATAGCTCTCATATATATATTGGTCATCCGATTTGCTATTTTTGTCCTCCGCAGCCGTAATATGCACCTTTAACAACAATATTTGGGAAATATATAAAATACAGCTCAGAAATAAATTTGCTAAATTTTATCGAGATCGGTTCAGATTTGGATATAGCTCCCATATATAACTTCGTCCGATTTACATTTGATTGGACACCAAACGTCTAATATTTGCACAAATTGGATGAAATTTGGCACTTACGACCGAATTGAGTCTAGAAGCTAGTATGTGAAATCGGTTCAGATATAGCTATAGCTCCCATATATACAGTTCATCCGGCCGACTTTAAGACATTCTTTACTGTTTTTTTTTTTTTAATTTTTACAAGACAAACCAGACGATATATGCCATCAAAAATGTTAAGAATGAATCATATTTCAGTCCCTCCGATTTAGTTGATCATCCGACGAAAGCTTACCACTTATGCACAATGTTTATTCTAACAATTACTTTAACAATTTTGTTTATATACCCATTATAATTTTGCCAAAAAATTTCCCCAAAATTTCTATAAATTACAATCATGTAATTCATTCATTATTTTAAATTATAATATCAAAATGCTTAAAAACGCCCCCGATATTATGCTGTCGTTGTTGTGGTAGGGTCGGTAAACACGTGCTGTGTTACTTGAAATTGCCGAGTGATTTCCGGCTGTTGGGAATACACTGCTGTTGTTTCCATAATGAGATACTTTTCATGCACTTGTTGTGGCAGGGCGAAAAAAGTAAACACGGAACTGTCGAAGCACGTGTCGGTATCAACAAATGTAAACAAAGTTTCGGCGGTTATTTAAAGCCGGTAAAAATATTTACATACCGTGTTTGGCCATAGCGCATGTTCTTTATTTAGTCTGCTCTCAATTTTTATCCCCAAAGCTCACTCTCCCCCAAAAGCTCTAAGGATATAGAGGAAAGCTTTTCGGCCAAAAAGTATAAATTCGAATGAATTTGCCATGAAACGGTTAGTTTGTCGTTTGGCACGCGTCTGGGGAACTCGAAAGCGGAAAAAAGGATTACAAAAAGGAAAACTGTTTCCCTTCATGGATTAAAGGATTAACATTGTTACAATCAAGCCCAAGAACAAGGATTATAGTGTATTTTAAAGGATTATATTTTCTGTGGAAATTGAAATGCTCGTTTAAAGTGATTAACAAAAATTATATGATACTGAAAGCAAAGAGAGAGGGAGAAGAAAAAAATAATTAAAAAAATACATAAAATGATAAATGAATAAAATATAAAATTTAATTAAAATAGACATTTAACAAATAAATTTCGCTTCAGACAATAAATTAATGTTTTCTGCTGCTAAATGCTGTGGCGAGTGAAGGGAGTCTGCTCTGCTAGTGTTAAATGCTAAATAATTAATCAAATGAATGCCTCAAGTGTCGGCATAGTGTTTCGTTTGCCATAAGTGTTGCATACGGGGAGGAGCGGCAGTGTGTGTCGTCTATGAAGCAAAAGCCTTTGGGCGTATGATTAATAATTCATTAAAATCATCATCGTCATTAAAAACTCATACGCCAGTGGGTACCACATCCCTCACAAGTGAGATTAATGCCAAATCGATGTTGATGTAAACACACACATACATATTTATACATAAATACAAATTGCACATGTATGTATGTATGCTAGTACAATGGCACAGATATAGTGACAGTGTCTGCAAATATCATTAATTATAGCATCCATTTTAATCAATTTGATTTATGTAAATCAATTGCCGAAGAGCCATCATCAGTGAGACAGTCGGTCGGTCGGTGTCTTTGCCATTGTTGTTGTTCTTCTCATGTTAAATGGAAATTACTGTTAAATGTAAATTTAATGCATTTTGTCTGTGCGTGATTCTTTAAATAAATAACTGTAACGAAACAGATTGGAAATTGTGAAGCAAGTTTTTCCGCATTTTCAAGTGGAATATCAAACAAACATTTAAATGTAAATGGGGTACGTATATTACAAAAAAGTTTATTTAAGTGAATGAACAAATAACAATACATTGCAAAATAAGGAAAGCTAAAATGTTTTGAAATGTGTAAGTTAAATTGAATTGTAGTATATTGTGCGTTTAAGCCAAAAAATGATTGTAGTGAATAATTTATTCGGGCATTTTTCTCTTTCTTCCGAAGTAAACTAAAATAAATTGGGAGAATAAAAAAAAAAGAAAACTTTTCACTGCAAATTTCAGATCATTAAGCTCGTCTCGAAAGAGAAAACAAACACTTAAATCATAAAACATATGATCTTCGCCTTAATAAGGCAAAACTCGAAAAACCTTAGGGTTTTTATGACAATGCTGAGAAGTGAAGCGCATTAAAGAACAAAAAATTTTAAAACGAGTTTTTCAAATTAGAATTATTTAAAATGAAGAGTAACACGGAAAAGAGTCTGTGTCAACAAAGGCCATACAGGGTGAGATGAAAAAACTGCAACCAAATTCAGACTGCTGTCATTTTTAAGCCACTCGTCCGACAGCTGTTAAAGTTATTTCAGTGACAGATCATTATATTGTTTACAAGCGTACAAAAGCATTTTGGTGAGAATTTTCCAGAAAAAAAGTTATTCGTGATGTAATTCAAGCGTGATAGTGTGATTTCTATATATTTTTGATTGGAAGACCACATCTATCTTTAAAGCAGCATTGAAATGTGAATAAATCTTTTGTGTCCCGTACCATCGCTCGTTACCGTGATACTGGTAGTTTAAACCGATATCAGGGAAGTGGACGGAAGAAAACAGCAACATCAGCAGAAATGGTTCAAAAAGTATAGAAGCGACTTGATCGAAACCCTCGTCGCAGTGGCCGAAAAATTGCTCGTGAGCTGAACATTCCATTCGGCAAATATTGAAAAATGAGCTCGTTGTAAATTCCAAAAATTGCAAGATCTTACATCGCAACATAAAGAAAATAGACTCAAAAGACCTAAAGAGTTGCTTCGCTTGGCCAAATGTGGTGAACTGACGAATTTGGTTTTCGATGAGGAATTATTCGTTTTCCCGCAGTTTGTAAAAAACAAAATGATCATGTTTACTTGGCGAAGAGTTTAGCTGAAAATGTGCACCTTCGTTGGCCACCAGAACTCAAGCGCCGGCCATGGTGATGGTGTAAGCCGCCATAACAGCCGATGGTCGCTCTCGCTCGTATTAATCGAATAAATGCCGAATATTATCGGCATATTGGGCATACAAACATTTTGGCCGTAGACCATGGACATTCAAATAGGACTCAGCACCATCGCACTCAGCACGCGCCATCCAAGAATGGTTACAAAATGAGGTTCCACTCTTCATTTCCAGCGCCCATTTGAGCATTTGTTCTGATGCCACGATCGATTAATATGAGCGGAGAGCGACCATTGGCTATAATGGCGGCCCACACCATTACCATGGTCGGCGCTTGAATTCTGGTGGCCAACCGAAGGTGCACATTTTCATCTGATCTCTTTGGCAAGTAAACACGATCATCATAGTTTCCCGGTATCAGGGTAAAAATAACTACCTCTGGAAAAAATTCGAAAAAATCGAAGAGTTTTTATTAAACTAGAGTTGTTCCAAATTATTTAAATTATCTAAATACAGAATACCGGAAGGCACGTATGTATATATGACCTATATGGATTTCCCTCCACTGGAAACACAAGCAATTTTGGTTTTCAGCACATTTGTTTGAAAAATATGACAAACATCCCAACATACTTTAAATCGGTTGGAGCAATTACATGGTGACTATAAGAAATTATGGACCTGTATCTTACATTTTCTATCAACATTCTTCCGTTCGAAAGCTAGAGTGATTTCCATTTAATATAGTTCTTCTGCTGAAAAAGAAAAGCATATACTTGTTGATTAAAAATGTTTATTTCGTGGAATACCAAACGGAAGGATAAACTTAATATATCCTTTATAGTACGATGAAAGGTGTGCAAATCGTACGGAAATCTGAAGTCAGTAGAACCTTTTGACTTCCGATTATAGCTTTCTGCCTTATGGCTTCACAAAGTAAATATTATTTGATACTTCAAAATGTGCCTCATTGAAATAACGTTTTTATGTCCATTGGACAAAATCCAGGATTTTGTTGGAGTTGACTTAGCTTTGTACCGGTCAGATAGTGAGAACCATGACCTTCAGACTTGGTACATCGTAATGGTTCGAGTTTCTTAAGAATTAGCACATCAAAATGTGTTTTCCATTCTTTCTGGTCTCCGCAAAAAATGTTAAAAAATTGTACAAAAATGAATTTATGACTTATTGTTCTACCTCCCTCAAAGGTCTTAATTTTGAAAAATAATTCCCTTAAAATGAAAAATCTATGTCTCGTTTTCTTAAAGTTTTTTACATACCAATATTTTGGTCTTTATAAGTATAATCTGAAAACAAAACATATAAATCCTCTCTTTCTTCTTTATCCACAACAAACGTTCAAACATTTCGAAAATAGCATACATACATCTAAACCGAAAAAAGGAATCTGATATCTTATAGTCCAAATATGATCCATATTAATTATGATCAATTAAAAAAGTATCGAACATGGAAACTATCGCACACTTACTGTCTGTCGTAAACCTGGCCAAACAAAAAGTTCAAACACAGTTTTTTTAATTTATTTTGTGGTGGAAGCCATTTTTGGAAAATTGTAGTGAAATCAGAATTCTGCGACTTCGTCCATTATATTGTGAATAATATCTTGATTACTAATTCCTGAAGATAGTCCTTGGCACTTTAAATTTGTATCATAGTAACTCAAAAATTATACATGCTTTGGCATTCTATTATCTCTTCAGATAAAATTTGGTGAACACAATTTTTAACCAGTAAAAAAAGCAGCTAAGTTCGGCCGGGCCGAACTTTTAATACCCTCCACCATTTGAAAGGAACTTGAAAAACTTCAAAAAACTTCCGGAAATTACTACTAAAATGAAAACTGTTTTATGGAGACTATACAAAGACGTGGACCTGCTTACGAAATTTTTTGTCATAGGATGTAGTACGAACTCAAAAAACCAAATTTGAAATAATTCCGGTGAATAAAGTCGCTAAAATCATCAAAATACCGAATATCGGAATGTACCGTTATATGGGAGATATACGAAAACGTGAACCTATATACGATTTTTTTTTGTCATAGGTTGTAGTACCCATTACGAAATTTAAATACGAAGTTTGTTATAATTCCGGTGAACAATGTCGCACAAATCATAAAAATCCCGAGTATTGGGAGGTATACGAAGACGTGGACCTGCATACGAAACTTTTTTCCATAGGTTGCGGTAATCATTAAGAACTCCCTAAACGAAATTTGATTTCGGTGAATAATGTTGCTGAAATTATCAAAATACCGAATATTGGCTGCTCAGCCGTTCACGAGTTAAAAGCGGGTTTACTACCATCGGCTTCTTTGACATATAGTAATCCGCTATATTGGGTATCAGCATCAATGTTACGGTCAGAAGTGACCCTTCCGTGTATTTGTGATTTCGTCGGGATCATAAATATTCACGGACTAATTGATTTTTTTTTACACAAAAGTTATGGCCATTTCAGCCGCTAAATATTGCCCTATAACTATCCAAATTGGTAGCCTTTAGCCCCACCCTAAATCCTTTCCTCATGCAAAATTCTGCGTGGATTGGCTTATTCTTGTGACCTGAAGAGGAACTGTTATTGGTCCATTTCAACCCCAAAAAAATATTTTGATAATCTCCCCCATGTTCATGCGAAATTTCGTGAGGATCGACCCTGAACATACAGAGCTAGAACGACTCAGCTCAGTGAGACGGGAAAATCCATACATATCTTCTTATGTCTTGAACCAATATATCGAGAAGTTACATAATTTTTGGCCCAATCCAACTTATAACACCTGTGAAAATGGTTGGAAACTGGAATCAAAACCTTGGAAATTTGGCCGAAACCTTAAAAAACAAACAGGAGTATTTGTTGGGAATATCAATCCTCTATGTACTAACAAACAAACATGTAGGCAGGCGGGGAAACCGACATGACATCGGTATAGAATTGAAAGTTAATCATAAGTATTTATACTTAATGGGGTGTTCGAGAAAATTACGGAAGAAAAAATTTAATATTTGATGGTGGAGGGTATACGAATTTTACATTTGGGTATAAGTGGCCATAGTTTCCCAAAAATACTCGTCCAATAATTCTGATTTAACCAAACTGCTGTTGAATTGTTCTTCTTCTATACATTTAGTTGTCTATGTGTCGACTATCTGAAAGAAAGCCGAAACATATTTCATATAAATGGATTTCGAATTTCACATTCAGGCACTTGTCTTGAAGTTATCGTATAGTACAAAAACCGAAAATTGTTACAAAATGCTAAAAAAATGAGCACAATCGCAATCTGTATTCAATATTGAAATTTTGTAAATTTTTTATAAGTTTAGTACTTATTTCATAAAAAATAACAAAAAAAATTAACATAGGATTCGAAATCCATTTCCTCTGAGTGGTAAAATATGAAAAATCCCTTTACAAAATCTACATAAAAATAAAAAGTTTTTTTTTATTGGCATATCACTTATAGAATTTATGTCCAAATTCATTTCATATCTGAAAACCACTGTTCCTCCCATGTTTTCAGAGTTTAATTTAAACAATCTTAAATATTCATTTTATGAATCGATTTAGTTCAATCCTGTATGTATTTTGATGCCATGAACTTAAGATGCCCAAAATAGTAACAAGCAAACCAAAATTCATTTTTTGAACATCATTCTTTAAGCCATCAATCTTAAATTGTAAACAGCAAAGCTTTTTACAGATTCTGTTTGTTTTCCTAGAGATACAGTTTTATTGACTTTTATTGTAGTTTTTAAGACTGAGTGACCAACAAATTTGTTCAGTCGTGTGTAATGCAATATCTTGACAAAAATCAAGCAATTTTTTTTGCTTCTCTCAGTGTGTAGATGTTGGAAAAC